CCTTAAGGGTCGTAAAGCCAATACGTGGTATCGCGTCGATGAGAGGAACGCGACAATTCACTTGGGGCGGTTCTCCGACGATTTTTAGCGACGTCACCTAGACATCCCGATGGAGTCCGAGGGCGCGAAGGGTTCGAATTTCCACCCCCGATAATCAGCCCCCCGCTGGGTCGTGACGGAGGCACGCCATTTCAGGGACAGTCGACTTTAATCACACACCCCCGGTTGGGGTCCCCGGCGCCGTGGGGCCATTTTATTGAAACCCTTGGTTACCCCCGGGTGGGGCCTCCAAGTATTTTCCAGAGAAAATCTCCTAATCGATTCCGTAAGGGAAAATGAAGCCGGATTTAAAGGACGTCGGGTTCACCAGAGGTGACGAGTCGCCCGAAAAATGGCGAACCTTTCGCCCTCTTGTTATTCTTTCGCGCGGAAATGCAGAACGAGGGGGTGGAAAATGGAATGCGATCACTCTAGGATGGGAGGACACGTATCGGCAGAGAAACCGAAACGGAGAGGCGCCTAAGGGTTCCGGATCGAGGCTTAATCGTCTATGGTGTGGTTCGGGGCTGACAATGGGGGTTGCCTTCAGGATCTCGCAAAGGGGTGTCACGCTCGCAGGGGCCGCAGTTGGGGACGTGGGGCAGGATATCGAGGTCCTTTATTAAAGCCCACCTCGGGCCCGCCGGGCCGCTTATCCCTGAGAGACCTTCCATCATTTTAAAGCCCGCCGAGTTGAAATTAGACGGACAATTTCATTTGAAGACTCCGCCGATTGAATAGAACCTCGCGTGATGATTTAATTCCATCCCCTGCAGCGAGGAGGCCTCGCCTCGCGAGGACCCTGGAAATTTGCCCAGGGGGTTGGACCTCCCTAATTCGAAATTTCACCCCGAAAGAGGCTAATTTCGTTTCCCTTTCTATACTAAAAAAAGTTTCATTCGATATTCCTTCGAACGGTGGCAAAGAAATATTTTCGGGAAGTCCAAGAATAATTTCAACGCGGTCCGCCACTCTTTAGATCCCCTTTAGAAGAGGTTACCCCTCGAAGGACGCATTTTTATTTTCTCTCTGCCTCATTTTTGGCATTTCGTTAAGGGGTTACACCACTTGGACCCACCCAAAAATTACGGTTCTTCAAGAACTTTTTTTTAACAATTAAAACGATTTTATCCAAATTAAAGTACAGTAAGGTATTATAGTACTCTTAAACGACAATATATTTTTTGTTGTATTTTTTTTTATTTACAAAAATGGCGGCTTGAAAGGCGATTTACCGGAGCGTTGCGAAAATCGATGATGGACGCGTTTGGACGCACGAATAAAATAAAAAAGACTCAAGACGACCGATTGAAAATTGGCGAAGCTAGAGTGCCCACCGACTTTTAAAATGCAGTTTTAAGAAAAACGCGTAAAGTAACCGCGAAAAATTTTTTTTGATTTTTGGAAAATCTCAAAGTGGTATAACCCCTTAAACGGACTCGTCGTTCGACTCTACGGAGCTTGGGAAATCCGGAGCATCGGGACGCGTTTGGACGCACGATGGCCAACGTTAATGGCACAAAACCGTCGGGCTTGGAAGTACAGGAAAGACAAATAGCTCCGACTTGTCCGTACGTAGACGTAGATCGATGCAAGGACGTATAAGTGAACGAGTAAGGCGGTATTGGTGGAATAATAATTAGCTATCAACCGGGCTGCTGATACGTTCCTCGCGAGTGACGTGTCGGCCGCAGCTGTTGCGCGTCGCGGTCGTTCCGCAATGCGGGCCGATGCCTCCTCCGTTTCGTTTCTTTCGACATTTTTATTTCGCCCTCGCTTCGCCGACGAGTCCCTCGACACTCGGAGGTGAGAAGGGATGCCAGTTAGGGGATTCGCGGGTAATCCGTCGAGTCCAGATGCCTTCCGACGAAAACGAGAGTCTTGCCGAGTCTATTTAATTCGTGTGAACAGTGACGAACAGCTTTAACCCTTTTAGTGCCGAACAACGATATATCGTCGTTTTACGAGTGCTAACGGCTTTGGCCGGCACTAAAAGGGTTAAGATTCTACGTTTCGGTCATCTACAACGATTTCTAGGGAACGCGATTTCCCTGTAGATGGGAACTCAACGGAGAGGGTGATTCGTCGTTCGGTTAACTCAATTGGGAAATCTCGCTGGGAGGGTTGATTTAATTCGTATGAACAGCCTTAAGATTCTACATTTCGATCATCTACAATGATTTTTAGGGAACGCGATTTCCCCAGATGGGAACTCAACGGAGAGGGTAATTCGTCGTTCGGTTAACTCGACTGGGAAATCTCGCCGGCGGAGTTGGTTTAATTCGTATGAACAGCCTTAAGATTCTACATTTCGATCATCTACAATGATTTTTAGGGAACGCGATTTCCCCAGATGGGAACTCAACGGAGAGGGTAATTCGTCGTTCGGTTAACTCGACTGGGAAATCTCGCCAGCGGGGTTGGTTTAATTCGTATGAACAGTGACGAACAGCCTTAAGATTCTACATTTCGGTCATCGACAACGATTTCCAGAGAACGCGATTTGTTGTAGATGGAAACCCTGTAGATGGATTGAATTTCATATGATAAACATCAATTTAATTCACATGAACAGTGACGAACGGTCTTAAGATTCTACATTTCGGTCATCTACAACGATTTCTAGGGAACGGGATTTACTCTTACATGGGAACTCAACGTGGAGGGTGATTCGTCGTTCGGTTAACTCGACTGGGAAATCTCGCCGGCGGGGTTGGAGGACTCGAAATCCAAAGTGACTCGAAACGGTCGGAAAGGGTCTCCAGGATCGGCGCATTGCGGCACGGGTCGGCAATTATCCTTGGAGGATCGGCAGAGAGATCGACTTCCCACGGCGATTTCCACGAGCCGAGTTTGGCCGCTCACGAATCGCATGACGCTAAGCCGATCCGAACCGACGCGATCTCGTCGGACCGAGCCTCCGTTTGCGCAGACCCGACGGGGATCTAGCCTAGATCGGAACCCGCAATCACGACGTAATAATCCCCGATCACGGAAGACATTGCACATTTCCCCGGAATCACTGCTATTCCGCGAGGGAAGATGCCCCGTCGAGGGTGGTTGGCCCGGGCTTACTGAGCGCCGACATGCGATACGAATTTAACCTTCTCTCTCTATCCCGAGTTCCGGTCGAGCCTTTCCCTGCCTTTGTCAGAATTCCTCCGAATTTCGTGCACCATCCTAAAGTTCCTTATCTAAAGCTAACCCTCCAAAAATCGACCCTTTCCTTCCGGAATTCAAGGATTCATAAATGGACTTAAAGTGAGGTGAAAGAGGCGACGCGAAGGTTTCGTTTATGAAACTTTTCTTTAAACTGGATATATCGAATTGTTTCGAGCCCCTTCCTGAAGTTCCTTATGTAAAGCTAACCCTCCAAAAATCAACCCTTTCCGTCCGAAAATCAAGGATTTTGTAGCGCTTTACTATTCGCTTTGCGAGAGATCTCAATCTCAAAATAAATTTATAATACGTTATAAATAGTCTAATTTCATTACGAGAGAATTAAAATAACGATACAACAACACCTATAACAACCCATAACCTACCTATAACAACCTATAACCTATAACAATCACTTGTTTCGGATGAGATAATCCGTCCGGGGCCTCCCACGTGCCTTGGAGTTATTTTTTATGTTTCTCGTGCAATATTACTGATTTTGTTAAAAAAATATATTGGAAATTTAAAGTATATACTTTGCAATAAACGGTTTATATAAATTTATGATAAAAAGATGACTCTTCCTATGTGCAATTACGTTTTGAAACGGAGAACTCAATTTTTCTTTCTTTTTTTGATCACATATACCTTTGTTATTTATGTAATTTTCAATGAATATAGAAAAATTAGCGTCACCGTTTTATTCTCTATTTTGTCCTTTATACCCTGCTTTTTGAATTATGTAAATATTGCTTTTCGTTTGGTTTTTATAAGCCTTTTTCCAAATCCTAGTAAAATCGTAAAATTCGGCCGGTTATCTTCGCATAAGCACCTCTTTTTAGCCCGGCACTAAAAGGGTTAATGGTCATTCAATATCATATATATAGATGGGTATCAGATATAGATATGGGTACCCATAATATAGAACGAAAAACATATTTATCATAGGATTCATAAAGGTGATGTAAAACAGTTATTTTATATATATATTTTATATATATATAACGCCGTTAACATATTTATATAACGTTTCTCCAACCTGTATACACCGAATCATTTGAAACTTCAGCACTTGACTATGAAGGCCCCAAGGAAGAACGCAACGCTCATGAAATTTCTTTTTTCGGCAGAAAAAATTGTAATTTGTCCTAGATTAAAACCATGATCACATTTTTTTGTGGAAAATGAAATTTCACGAGCATCGTGTTTTTCCTTAAGGCCTTCGTAATCACATGCTGAAGTTTCAAGTGGTTCGGTGCACCCAGTTTGGAGAAGAGTCTTATAAATATTTTTACGTTTTATATTACGGGTATCCATAAGTAATCCATTTTTTTTTCACGTCTAAAACCCCTCTTTGAAAATAATTGATTACTTATGGGTACCCGTAATATGTATAAAATAACTGTTTTATATCACCTTTCTGAGTCCTATAATAAATATTTTTACGTTTTATATTATGGGTACTCATGAGTAATCAATTTTTTCACGTCTAAAACCCCTCTTTCAAAATAATTGATTACTTATAGGTACCCCTAATATATATAAAATAACTTTTCTACCACCTTTATGAGTCCTATGATAAATATATTTTTACGTTTTATATTATGGGTACCCATGACTAATAAAATTTTGTCACGCCTAAAACCCCTCTTTCAAAATAATTGATCACTTATAGGTACCTCTAATATATATAAAATAACTGTTTTATATCACCTCTATGAGTCCTATGTTTAAATTTAAAAAAAGATGGGCAAGGTTGAAGATCGTTCTAACCTCCCGTTTGATTGCAGCAACTCGATCACTGCCACAATGCCTCGTGTCAAGAGACAAGTTATCCTGGAGGACCCCGCCAGGCCGGTCACCCCCGATATGGTGCAGACTAAGCTGGGTGAGTCCTTCACCATGGACATTCCACCATAAACGTTCCACCATGGACGTGGGACGTATGAGGCCTTCAAGCCCAATCATTTCCTTGGTATTCTCGCAAACTCTGCAGCCTTGCGAAGGCAGCGAAGAGGAAAAAGAGAGCAAATAAAGAGGCTGTTCTCTTCGTTTCTATCTCACAATTAGACAGCAGTCGCCATATCGCACCGAGCAAGGGTTACACGTAAAGAAAGGGAAAACAGCCCCTCTAATCTCTCTCTGTCGGTTCTGCTGCATTCGTAATCGGATCAGCAACAGTTTCATAAAAAAGACGGAGAAAAAGCAAGAAACGACCCCACTGTTCTTTCTCTTTTGGTTTCCGCTGCTCTCGTGGTCAGATACAGTAGAATCGCGTATAACGCGGTCGAGGTGAAGTGAAACACGTCGAGGAACTTGATCGACGTCGATAAAGAAGATTTTTATAAATGCCTGCGTTGCCGACGTTCATTTTTATATTGACAGCTATATCGAAATATATTGGGTATTGTACCAAATGGCGTACTCCACCTGTCGTTTTGGTACAATAATTATAAAGAAATCGAAGTAAAATTCCAGAAATCCTCTGGATTCATGCTTTCTGGGGCCCTAATTGACTGCAGAGGGACCCCCTGCGCCATCTGTGATTTCCAGGTCAATTAAATCTTCACTCCGAGACCTCTTATTCCCATCGGTTTAGCATAGAAGTGCATACAACACTTTTTTTGCCTTTTTTTCTATTCAAATGCGAGTTTATCGATTACCAGAGTGTTCTAAATTGCCGTACAAATGTAATGACACTTTCGTTTTTCATATTGGAGTCTTCGATAATTGTATATCGATCGAAATATGAGAGCTCGACGCCGTTTTGGTTCTGATATGGGCTTAGTTACATATATTTTTTCAAAATCCAAATTTTGAATGTATCAGGACAATTCTTAGATGATCAGGAGTGATGTGTCAAAGTTTTGGACAGTTTGGTCGAATACCCTTCAAAAAAAGGGTTGTATTCGAATTGACTGATTGGAAGGGTGTTTCACTTCACCTTAAGGAAAATCGATACATGTTTATTGAAGACTCTGATATGAGAAATGAAAGTGTTATTAACTTTGTACGACAATTTAGAACACTCTGGTAATCGAGAAACTCGCATTTGAACGGGATAAAGGCAAAAAAAGTGTCGTATGCGCTTCTATTCCAAAAGGATGGTAATACGAGGTCTCGGAGTGAAAATTTAATTGACCTGGAAATCACAGATGGCGCCGTGGGTCCCCCTGCAGTCAATTAGGGCCCCAGAGAGCTTGAATCCAGAGGATTTCTGGAGTTTTACTTCGATTTCTTTATAATTATTGCACAAAAACGACAGACGGAATATGCCATTTGGTACAATACCCAATATAATTCGACCCAGCTGTCAATATAAACGCCAACGACGGCAACGTAGGCATTTAAAAAAATCTTCTTTATCGACGTCGATCAAGTTCCCCGACGTGTTTCACTTCGCCTTAACCCCTTGACTTACGATTTAATTTCAAGTAGCGCGTGCCATAAACAAGAAAAATGTTGGTCATACATCGGGCCATTTCACGGTTTGGCGGAACGTTCAAAGTCTCACGCGTTTCTTATACGTTTTGTTTACGTGTACGTAAACGTACTCTTATACGTGTTGTTTGGCCCGATTGACATACCACGTCTCTCACACGTTTTGTTCACGTTTGGCCCGATTGGTATACCCGTCTCTCACGCGATATTGTAAGTGAAGAGGTTAACCGTCCATCGTTTTCAGAGTGGCCCTCGGTGAAGGAAGAGTACATCGACGAGGGGTCCATAGACGAGGTCCAGACGCATAAGATCGCCGAGGAGACGCCGAGTCCGCATCTGCAGGACCACCAGTACGGGCAGACTCCTTGCCACCAGGTGTCGAGGAAGCCCACGCAGCCACCCCCGCGAGCCGAGGTAATGCCTCCCTTTTCTTTGTATTATTTGTATTCTATCGGGTCGTTCCATAAGTAACAATTTTCTAAAGGTCTCGGCACCCCGCAAGAGAAACAAGGTGGGCTACACCTGGAAAAAGATGTACATAAAGCTCCCCAATTTGGCACGTTCGATCAGATTGGTTGCTAATTTATTGCTATTTATTGCCATTCATTTCTGTTTTTGCCAGCTTTATGTATTAGGTCGAGGAACAAGTTCCCGCCGTCTCTACATTGAGAAAAATGAGGCACTTGAAATGAATTAAATGTGCCTATTTAAAAATCGGATAGTTCCCTAGTAGCACAAAATATTTGTCCTATATTTTCTATATATTTAACGAATATCGTACATCTTGTAAATATTTAGCAGACATTTGAAATAATTGCAAAACGTTTACTTTAGAATATTATCTCTATAANTTATTGTAACTAAATATGTCATTGAGATTTTCAACAAATATTTCAAATATCTTCGAATGAAATCTACAAGAACTCTTGAGAAATCATCGCTTGAAATATTTAGCAAAGATTACAAAGAAATATTTAGAAATTATTCTATGCTACTAGGGTTGACTCAAGTGAAATTTTCAATGATTGAAATAATTATTTCTTAACGGGAATTAAAAGTGAAATACTTTCAACTAAACGAAAAATGTAGAAATAAGTAATGGTCTACTAGGTTTGTATAGGACTATAATTTATTCGCCTCCAGTTGTACATTTTTATCAGAGTAACGTAACGTAACATAACGTAATTAAGACGGCGGGAACTTATATAACGGAAAAAGTACCCTGAGCGAAAAATGCAACTTCCGGTAAAGATTAATTTCTTCCCTAGTAGCAGAGAATAATTTCGAAATATTGGTTTGCAATCTTTGCTAAATATCTCAAGTGACAGATCTTTTAAGATGTGTAGATTTCATTCGAATTTATGTGAAATATTTGTCGAAATCTCAATTACCTATTTAGTTTTAATAATTTATAAACATATAATGAAAATACATTTTTTACTTCTCGAATATTATCGGACAATTCGTTTGGTACCAAAAAACATGACAAATTGTTGTAATATTTTCCCTTCCGCTATTTCATTATAGGAGCCAAACGTGTGATTTTGATTTTAAATATTTTTAAAACGTTTACAATATATTCGGCACTTAACATCTCGCGACTATTATCGGATACTTCATTTGGTATCAAAAAACACGAGAAATTTTTCTAATATTTTCGTTCCGCTATTTCATTATAGGAGCAAGGTATCAAAAAACACGAGAAATATTTCTAATATTTTCCTTCCGCTATTTCATTATAGGAGCCAAACGTGTGATTTTGATTTTAAATATTTTTAAAACGTTTACAATATATTCGGCAGATAATATTTAAAAAATATTTGTATTAAAATGAAACGAAATGTTTTGTATATCTGGTAGAAAAATATTATGAAAACACATGGAGCGCCATTTGGTACAATACCCAATATAATTCGACCCAGCTGTCAATATAAACGCCAACGACGGCAACGTAGGCATTTAAAAAAATCTTCTTTATCGACGTCGANATATTTCAAATGTCTGGCAAATATTTACAAAATGTACGATATTCGTTAAATATATAGAAAATATAGGACAAATATTTTGTGCTACTAGGGCAGTACTTGATACAATTTCGTGGTAAAATTTCGAACGATTCGTTATACCCAGTTCGGAAGAATGATGAACGAGACCCCTAGATGACCCTTTCGTGTCACTTTAGCTCGTAGTTATCTCGAAAGAAAATTCGCCGAGGAAAATATCGGACTTTTGGAACGACCCGATACAAGTGAAAGAGCGAGAGAGAGTGTTGTAACCACGAAGTAATATAAGGAGATTCAACGCCATGTATTGAAATCGTCCCCAATTTAGAGGTCCAAGATCTTCAGATTTTTTTTCCGATCTAAGGCCGAAAGCGATTCCTCCATTCAATTTTGCAATTCAAAATTATCGTCCGCTTTATCATGTCAAAAACATCACATTCTGTATATTATGCGCGAATTGTGCCCATAATTATGAAAGTGGTCTAAGTCAAAATTAAAAAAAAAATGAGTTTATCAGTTATTTCACGCCATATTATTTCAAACGAAATTAATTCAATGTAATTTCGAAACAAAAAATATATGACTTAGACCACTTTCATAATTATGGGCACAATTATCGTTTCATTTTGTATACCTTCAGGTGAAGTGAAACCCCCTTCAAAACACTTGATTCGAATACAACACTTTTTTCTAAAAATTACGGACCGCTAGCATGTCCGCTAGTGTTTATCGCATTAATAACATCATATTTTATATATCAAGCGCGGATTATTGTTTCGCTTTGCGGACCTTAATTGTAAAATTAAAAGCATTTTAGGTCATTTACGCCAGTAGGATATGTTTCGGTCACGTAGGATTGGAGTTCCCTCAATTTCCGCAAGTAGCGCTCGCGTCGTTAGATCACTGAAAATCTGAGATCCTGGGTCCCGATTTTGGGGTCTCTTTTTGTGGAATCGACCATCGGCGTTATATCTAGTCAAGTGGCCTTATATCTTTATACATCATGGTCCTCACCTTAGGGGTTCGAGATCTTCAGATTCTTTTTTATCTAGGGCCGAGAGTGTCTCCGATGAAATTTCGCAATTAAAAATTACGGATCGCTAGTGGGTCCGCTAGTCTTCATCACGTTTAAAAATATCACGTTCTGTTATCATGCGCGGATTATCGTTTCACTTTGCGTACCTTAATTTCAAAATTAAAAGCGTTTTGGGTAATTTACGTCGGTAGGAAATGTTTCGGTCACGTAGGATTGGAGTTCCCTCATTTTCCGCAAGTGGCGCTTGCGCCGTTAGATCAGCGAAAATCTGAGATCCTTGATACATACGCTTACAATGAGATATCTCGTAGTTGGCAGTGAATGCGTTAAAAACATCACATTCAGTATTTCATGTGCGGATTATCGTTTCACTTTGCGTACCTTAATTTCAAAATTAAAAGCATCTTAGGTAATTTACGTTGGTAGGAAATGTTTCGGCACGTAGGATTGGAGTTCCCTCATTTTCCGCACGTAGCGCTCGCGTCGTTAGATCCGAGAACATCTGAGATCCTGGGTCCCGAACTTAGGGTCACTTTTTTGTGGAATCCACCATTGGCGTTATATCTAGTCAAGTGGCCTTATATCTTTATACTACATCATGGTCTTCACGTTAGGGGTCCGAGATCTTCAGATTCTTTCCGATCTAGTGCCGAGACCGCCTCCGATGAAATTTCGCAATTATAAATTCCGGACCGCTAGCATGTCCGCTAGTCTTCATCACGTTTAAAAACATCACGTTCTGTATATCATACGCAGATTATTGTTTTGCTTTGCGGACCTTAATTGTAAAATTAAAAGCATTTTAGGTCATTTACGCCAGTAGGAAACGTTTTGGTCACATAGGATTGGAGTTCCCTTAATATCCGCACGTAGCGCTCGCGTCGTTAGATCCGAGAAAATCTGAGATCCTGGGTTCCGAATTTAGGGTCACGTTTTGTGGAACCATCCATTATGTCGCCTTATACTATTTCATGATTGCAACGCCTCGATTGTCCCCAGATCTCGGTGCAAGCGGTGAAGAGAAGACTGAACTTAGAGGTGGGAACGACGGGGCCCAGCCAGTCGGCTTTCAAGGCCCCCCGAGGTAAACGCAGAAGGTCGGGATCGAACTCCCTGGCCGGACACACGCCCACCAAAAGTAAGGACCCTTTAGCTCGTACCGGCAATTTCACTTTCCGAGACAAAGAGAACGCGGCTCTAAGTGGCTTCTCCCCAGGCAAGACCGTCGAGAGGACGCGGTACGACACGTCCTTGAGTCTGCTCACCAAGAAGTTCATCAACCTCGTGGAGAACAGTCGAGATGGCGTCGTGGACCTGAACGTCGCCTCCGAGAAGCTCGAGGTCCAGAAACGCCGCATCTACGACATCACCAACGTCCTCGAGGGCATCGGCATCTTGGAGAAGAAAAGCAAGAACAACATCCAGTGGAAGTGAGTTCGCGAGGGAACCTCGGCCGCCATTTTCCTCTTCCGCGTGCACCCAACGAGATGGTTCGACGTCGGACATCCAATTGTTGAAAAAAAGGGCTCATTTAATCCCGAAGGGATCGGGTCTCATGCTAGAAATCCCGAGGAAATCGGTATTTACTTCCGTTTACCTTTTCCAGATTACTTTTCACACTAAAACACGTCCTTTATCTGCAGTCTTTAAGGTGATGTGCAAATGGCGTTCGTGGAGATGGTTCAACGTCGGACATCCAATTGTTGAAAAAAAGGGCTCATTTAATCCCGAAGTGATCAGGTCTCATGCTAGAAATCCCGAGGAAATCGGTATTTACTGCCGTTTACCTTTTCCAGATTACTTTTCACACTAAAACACGTCCTTTATCTGCAGTCTAAGGTGATGTGCAAGTGGCGTTAGAGTTCTCGTTCGTGAAACTTTTCTCCAAATTGGGTGTACCGAACCGATTCAAACTTGTCGATATAAATATCGAGGGTATAAGGAAGGTCCTGAATCTCATGAAATTTTTTTTTTAATTTGTTCGGAGATATTTTTAAAATTTGCTATAAAAAATGAAATTTTATGAGGACTTTCCTTATACCTTCCATATTCGCGTTGTAAAGTTTGAAACAATTCACCATATCTAGTTTGGAAAAATTTTTCATGAATGTTTGACTGTTCAGATCCCACATTCTCATCCCCTTAAGGTGATACGAAAGGGTTCTATAGGCATTCAATAAAACATAAAAATATATAAAACGTATATATGAAACGTAAGAATATTTATAAAACTTTTATCCAACCTGAATGCACCGAATCATTTGAAACTTCAACACCTGATTATGAACGCTTTGAGAAAGAGTGTGGTGCTCGTGAAATTTCATAAAAAAAAAAATGTATTGGCTCTAATCTGGGATATATAAGAAAAATTGTTATTAAAAATGAAATTTCATGAGCACTACGTTCTTTCTTAGGGCCTCCATAATCATTTGTTGATGTTTCCAACGGTGCATCCCGTTTAGAGGAAAGATGTATACAAATTTTGTCATGTTATATATATATATATATATATATATATAGAATGACCTTTTTATATCATCTTAAATGGCTAAAGGATGTCTTTTAACTATTTTATTAAGAAATGAAATTTCATGAGCACCACGTTCTTCCTTAGGGCCTCCATAATCATTTGTTGAAGTTTCCAACGGTGCATCCCGTTTAGAGGAAAGTTGTATAAAAATTTTGTCATGTTATATATATATAGAATGACCCTTTCATATCATCTTAAATGGCTAAAGGATGTCTTTTAACATTAAAAGTGTGGCATGAGTATGCACCTTAATCTAACGTTACATTGTAGGACACTTTGAATGACTTCCTTTAGCTATTTAAGATGATATGAAAGGGTCATTCTATATATATAAAATATCAAAATATTTATAAAACTTTTCTCTAAACAGGATGCACCGAACCGTTGGATACTTCAGCACGTGATTAGGGAGACCATAAGGATGAACGTGGTGCTCATGAAATTTCATTTTTAATAAGATTTGTCTTATTTATCCCAGATTAGAACCAATACATTTTTTTTTTTTTTAAATAAAATTTCACTCGTGCTCGTGAACTGAAACGCTAAATCGTTCTATATGTGAAGAAGATGCATTAATAATTACTTCTATTTATATTACGTTGAGACGTTAGCATAAATTTTGTATTTTCCCGTTTGTTGGTCTTTTCAATTTTGAAATTTGCCGCCAAATTCCCGGGCTACCCTTCTTGCCCTCGCTCGAGATCGAGGGTAGAAAGTGTAGAGAAAGTGTACCCTCGGGGTAGATGCCCTCGCAAAACGAACAGCGGCGTCTGCGTCCCTTCCGTCAAAACGAATGCCAAAGTGTACACTTTGTGTAAAAGTGTAGAAAGTGTAGGTAAAACGAACAAACGTATTAGGTTTGTTTGCGTTGACTGCACTTTCTACCCTCGAGGGTAATGAGGGTACTGCACTTTTCTTGAAACGTGCAGAAGGGTCGATACACTTTCGTCGACATTCCGAACGCCAGAAACCTCATGAAAGTCCAAGATGACCGATTTAGTACAGTGGTACGCTATTTTGAGGTTATCCGTATCGGAGGATGATGAATACGAAAATGTAATGCTTCCTCCAGCCTTCCTTCTTGGGCTGTCTTCGTTTTCTTCAAATCCTACAATTCGTTCTATTACCTCGTAATTGTAGAAGATGAAAATTCCTTTCACGAATTTCAGGTATTGAGGATCAATAAGGGTCAGAATGTTATTTCAGTAGAATGAAAAACAATTTAACTACGACAGGGAAAAATTAGAGTTAATTCATTCCAACCGCGGTTACGTAGTAATACATGATTATTGTAAATATTTTCAAACATTACGTACAAAACTAAAACGCTAATTCGTTCTATACACGAAGAAGATGCATTAATAATTACTTCTATTTATATTACGTTGAGACGTTAGCATAAATTTTGTATTTTCCCGTTTGTTGGTCTCTTCAATTTTGAAATTTGCCGCCAAATTCGCGGACTACCCTTCTTGCCCTCGCTCGGGATCGAGGGTAGAAAGTGTAGAGAAAGTGTACCCTCGGGGTAGATGCCCTCGCAAAACGAACAGCGGCGTCTGCGTCCCTTCCGTCAAAACGAACGCCAAAGTGTACACTTTTCGTAAAAGTGTAGAAAGTGTAGGCAAAACGAACAAACCTAGTATCTTCAGGATCTAAGATTAATTCCTAAAGCCGTGGGCGGTGCCGATGCAACATTTTAGGAATGTGCTGATAGCGATTACCGCTATAAACGACGCTTATCGTTGCACTCGCTTAACGGAAAGGAACCATAAATTAGAGCGAAGGATTTCCCATTTCCGACGTCCATTCTTGGAGAGACTTATGGCGATAGGGCCTGTTCCTTTCGGAACTCCAACTTTTTCTTACGGGATCTTCCTTGAGCTGCCCGAAAAAGTCGTCCGGGAAGAACGTCTCTCTTTGTTCGTGGAAAGACGGATAAGGCATTGCGAGTTATCTCGAATGTGGCACGATAACTGAATTAGGATTCAACGAGGGCATTTTGTATTTGCCGTTGCTCCGGCGTGCCCTGTTAACCCTTTCGTTACCTTGGACGAGATATCTCGCGACCCAATNAGACCGCCGTCTAACCTAATACACATACCGAAGTAAAGACCCGCAAGAGATATGTAAATCGATACGGGTAATAATTATTTAACTTGAATCCACAATTGCAGTGAAATTCCCCTATCCTTGTAACATCACACTCGACATATGTGCCCATAATTACGAAAGTGGTCTAAGTCAAAATTAAAAAAAAAAAATGAGTTTATCAGTTATTTCACGCCATATTATTTCAATGTAATTTCGAAACAAAAAATATATGACTTAGACCACTTTCATAATTATGGGCACATATTGTGTGTTATTATTTTGTAAATATATTCATCTAGAATATCAAAATATTGTTGCTAGAAAGCTAGATTATCGTCAAAAGCGTTAATCCGCTACTACCGGATCGCGAGATATCTCGTCAAAAGCGTTGATCGGCAACTACCGGGTCGCGAGATATCTCGTCAAAAGCGTTGATCGGTCAGTATCGGGTCGCGAGATATCTCGTCAAAAGCGTTAATCGGTCAGTATTGGGTCGCGAGATATCTCGTCCAAGGTAACGAACGGGTTAAAAACATCTACTCGAAGTATAATTTACATAGATAATGTAGATATTTCGGAACTTCATGATCTCTTATGAGGCAAATTTGATGGCAATTGTGCATCAATTTGTCCATCTGGGAATTATACATAAAGTCTAGGGTTAACTTAGAAGTTTCACTTCCGACACGCGTAACGGCTACGCGCCGATTGTCACGTAATAAGTACACTCATCATTACCCCAAAAGTGGTAATTTCATCATGATGAGTATACTCGTCATTACCTCAGAAGTGATCATTTCACCGTGAAAAGCATATTCATCATTGCGCCATAAGTAAGGATTTCATCGTGCCAAGTATACTTGACATTGTGTCAGAGGTGATTACTTCATCATGAAGAGTATATTCATCATTACCGCAAAAGGAATGATTTCATTATGACGAGTATATTCGTCAATGCCTCAAAACTGATCATTTTATCATGAAAAGTATATTCATCATTACCCTAAAAGTAATGATTTCATCATGCGGAATATATTCATCATAATCCCAAAAGTAATGATTTAATCATAACGGGTATACGGGTCTTCCTCATGAAGAGTATATTCGTCATTACCGCAAAAGGAATGATTTCATCATGACAAGTATACTCGTATATAAGTATATTCATAATTCATATATAAGTAAATTCCTAAGTATATTCATCATTACCACAAAAGGAATGATTTCATCATGACGAGTATACTCGTCATTGCCGCGAAAGTGATGATTTAATCATATAGAGTATATTCATCATTGCCCTAAAAGTAGTGATTTAATCATGACGGGTATACGGGTCTTCATCATGAAGAGTATATTCGTCATTACCGCAAAAGGAATGATTTTATCATTACCGCAAAAGGAATGATTTCATCATGCGGAGTATATTCATCATAATCCCAAAAGTAATGATATAATCATGGTGGATATACGGGTCTTCATCATGAAGAGTATATTCATCATTACCCTAAAAGTAGTGATTTCATCATGCGGAATATACTCATCATTACCCCAAAATGAATGATTTAATCATGACGAGTATACTCATCGTTACTCCAAACGCGATCATTTCCCCATGACGAGTAACTCGTGAAAAACCGTTAAAGTGTTAATTCGGGATATAAATCTCGTTTTCGATTACCGTAAGCCTTTCTCTTTCCGGTTTTATGGTTCCGTAACGACCGCAACAGGTCCGTCATAAATCGAGCGGTTTAATCCAACAGGGGTGGCCAACTGCCCGGGGAGCAGAACGACATCGCCGACCTCAGGAGAGAGGTGGCCGATCTCGAGGCCAAGGAGAACACCCTGGACCGACTGATCCACGGAGCGGAGAAGAATCTCCGCGAGCTTTGTGCCGACCGGCAATACGCCTACGTCACGTACCACGACCTACGATCCGTCTCGGCCTATCGGGAACAGGCCATCATGGCCGTCAAAGCGCCACCGGAAGCCACGCTACACGTCCCACAGCCCATCAGCAATTTCGGCCAGCCCAAGGTTAGTCATGGATATAATACGTCTCAATCGGTATCGATTCCTAACAGTTAAATCTCAATATCTTATGATGAGGTGAAACACGCCGAGGAACTTGATCGACGTCGGTAAAGAAGGTTTTTCGAAATATCTACGTTGCTACGTTAAGTTTGAAACAATTCGGTACACCCAAAAGTTTTATAAACGAGACTATTGTGTCGCCACATTCACATCACCTGAAGGTGCCTACCTAGGGTCGATGGTTGTAATACAAAATGGGATTGAAGGTGCCTACCTAGGGTCCATGGCTGTAAAAAAAAAACGGGATTGAAGGTGCTACTTAGGGTCCATGACTGTAATATAAAATGGGATTGAAGGTGCCTACCTAGGGTCGATGACTGTAATACAAAATGGGATTGAAGGTGCCTACCTAGGGTCGATGACTGTAATACAAAATGGGATTGAAGGTGCCTACCTAGGGTCGACTTCTGTAATACAAAATGGGATTGAAGGTGCCTACCTAGGGTCGATGAGCTGTAAAACAAAATGGGATTGATGGTGCCTACTTAGGGTCAATGGCTGTAATACAAAATGGGATTGATGGTGTCTACTTAGGGTCGATGACTGTAATACAAAATGGGATTGAAGGTGCCTACCTAGGGTCGATGGCTGTAATACAAAATGGGATTGATGGTGCCTACCTAGGGTCGATGACTGTAATACAAAATGGGATTGATGGTGCCTACTTAGAATCGATGGCTGTAATACAAAATGGGTTTGAAGGTGCCTACTTAGAGTCGATGTCTGTAAAACAAAATGGGATTGAAAGTGCCTACCTAGGGTCGATGTCTGTAACACAAAATCGGATTTACAAAAAGAGAGATTACATATCTTCCGTATGGCCTTAAGTGAATCGTAACATTAATTAACCCTGTTTGCAGCTCCAGATACACATGCGGTCCTCGCACGGAGAGATCGAGGTCTTCCTGTGCCCCGACGACCCCGGGGCGAGGACAGTCGCGAACGCCTCGTCCTTATTCGCGCCGTCGAAGCCCCCCGAGATGCCGAGTCTGCCTCCGGAGCTTCTGGTGAACCAGGCGAGCCAGGGCGACCAGGTACAGCGGGCCACGCAGGCGGACCAGGGCGACCAGAGTGGCCAGGGTCACCGGGTCGCTCGGAACCAAGTCAAGGTGGAGGCCGTACAGGCGGTGGAGGTCGACGCCGCGCACGCGCTGAAGGCCGAGCTCGACGAGTCGGAGGTCTCCGCCCTGACGGCCTCCTCTTCGGGCATGAGGGACGCTCTGCTCTGCGAGTCCGACGACTTCGGCCCGATGGGAGGTGGCCGGTTCCAGCTGCAGACCGAGGACCAAAACACCTCGCCAGGTAATCACCTTCGCCTTCTTCGAGATCTACTTCCAGTGCGTCTACGAGCATCGGGGACCTTGGTGCACGGATCTCTGTCTGTACAACTGGATCGCTTGCATAGGTCTTCTCGCTTGGGGACATCATTGGCACCACCGAATATGGATACCGGTACTGAACAAGTACCATCTGCGTATGCGCAGCAGCTGCGATCAGGGGGTCGACACTGCCATGTATTGGGGTGTAACGCTTTATGCACTACCGCCATCTTCGGTTGGAGTAAACCTTCTTCGCGAACTAAAATATTTGGCGGGCTATTCAAATTCATTTATTAAACGAAGGGATATTTTCGGGATTTAAAAAGTACTTGCAATGATTAAAACAGGCGTTGCTTAAACTGACACACACAAATGTAAGAAAACAGTATATTAAACAAAATACGTAACAAAAGTGTCAGTGGTGCAACACCTGTTTTAAATCACTGTAAGAACGGAAATAATTACATTAAACATTAGCTAAAAAGTAAAAGATTTATGAAGATAAAAATATTAATTATTATGAACGTATAAATATTTTTCGTTATACAAATTTTATAGAAATTTAATTTTTTGTTATAATTAGTTTCATGGATTAAATGCGATCTATAGATCGCATTTAATCCATTTAATTATTACAATTATTATACTAAGAAACTACAAACTGTTCTTGATTTACACTTTTACTCACAAACTCACGTTCGCGATTTAATACCCGAGGTAATCGAAACTTGTAAAAACATTGCCACTAATCGAGGTTAGGTTCACTTGGGTTCACTTGTCTCGACTATTTTCATGCGCATCTATGCTGCGTCTCCTGGAGTCTCTTGCTATTGGTTAGAATATTTTTTTTCTCTGCTGTTCTCTTTCTATTAGAGTGAGAAGTCACGACACTAGCGCAGTCTTTGCTTGGAGTAAACTAACTTCCGCGTTACACTCCTCCCATAAGGAGTGTCGCCCCCCTGGCTGCAAAGCCCTGAAATTTTCGAGCAGTGATGAGCGGGAAGATGTTCCACGCTATTGTCGAAACGGAGGCACGGCTCCCTAGCGCCGTGGAATTTAGAGTTCGAAAATTTTCGGTAACATTAAATTGGAGAAGGTAACTGTGAAACATATTAGTTTACACGCTCATAACCAGAGGCCTCTGTGGTCCTCCAAAACGTCCCGCCATTATGTAGGATATCAGCTCTCTAATTAGTATATAGATTATGATCTGGATACTTGTTTTGAAGAGCGCGCTGTTTTCAGCGCATGCGCAGATACTACAATATTAGTTGATGTGCCCAAAACCCGAGTATTCGCTTGAAATCGTCACACCATTTCGTGTGATAGGAGCTATTAAGTTAGTACAGAGGTCAGTGGCCTTGAAGAGACGAAGAACCACATTTTGGAGAACCGAACCGCGACGGAGTAACGTTTGGATCTCGGACCCCATTTCCAGGGGGTCTTCGTGACGCTCTTCCAGAATGCCGTCCTAGCCGTTACCTGATGGAGCTCTGGCTGTGACTTGTGTTGCATCAGTGGAAATCACATCACAGGCAAAGTTCTAGTTAGGTAGCGGTTACTCACCGCGGTGTTCTTGGGCGTTGAGGTAGGTCCGGACTCGCTGGAGTCCTTTCGAAGGATTTTCAACACGCTTCCAGGAACGCTTATGGCTGGTTTATCAACTAGATATTGAACAACCTAAATCGTTTACATGTACTTGGCGTTAAGTAACTATAAGGGGAGCCATAACAGTGAAACCATGAAGTAGTATAAGGAGACATAACACCTATGGACGGTTCCACAGAAATTGACCCCAGAATCTCAGATTTTTGCAGATGTAACGACGCGAGCGCTACGCGCGGAAAATGAGGGAACTCTAATCCTACATGACCAAAACGTTTCCTATCGATGTAAATTCCCCAAAATGCTTTTAATTTTGCAATTAAGATATACAAAGTGAAATGATAATCCACGGATTATATACAGAATGTGATGTTTTTGACGGGATAAAGACTAGCGGACACGATAGTAAACGATAGTTTTTAATTGCAAAATTTCATCGAGGAGGCGCTCGGGCCTATATCAGGAAAAATCTGAAGATCTTGGACCCCTAAAGCGGGAACGATTTAAATACATGTTGTCGGATCTTCTTATACTACTTCGTAAGTGAAACATTAGCCTATAGGTATATTCTCACACACTACTATACGCTCAATTGTAACGTTACGGTAAAGTGAAACAGGTCGAGAAGATTGATCGACGCCAGTAAAAAAGATTCTTCTGAATATCTACGTTACCAACGTTCGTGTACGTATCGACATCTATGTCGAATTATATTGGATGTTATACTAAATGGCATGTTCCATATGTCATTTCCGTACATTTATTATAAAGAAATTGAATTAGAACGCCAGAAATTCCCTGGAGTCATGGTTTTTGATGCCCTACATTACTGACCTTCATGTTTATATCTACAGCTGTATCGAATTATATCGGGTATCGTACCAAATGACATACTTCATGTCGTTTTCGTACACTAATTATAAAGGAATCGAAGTAAGACTCCAAAAATCCTCTGGATTCGTGGTTTTTGATGCCGTAATTGACTGCAGAATTAAATTTCTCAGCGTCTTTCATATCGCCTTAAGGTGATAGCTCGAACAATTTTGGATACCATAGAAATGGAATAATACAGAGTCAAATGGGAAAATATAGAAAATACTTTCACTCACGATTGCAAGAGAGTCTCGGGGCTAACACGTATATTTAGAGCAAAAATTTAGTTACAGCTAAACGTCACAGATGGCGACGTTGGTCCTAAACAGTCGTTAGAATAACGAATTCACGGGATTTCGACAGTTTTACATCGATCTCTTCGTCATTACTTCACTGAAATGACATATGCAACGCTTCAGTTCGTATAATTCTGAACGTAAATTGTAAAAGACTTCAACATGAATATAAATGTCGTTAACGGGACGCGCCAGTTTATGTTACCACTTGGGTATTCAAAATGGCTGTCACTGAAAAAGGGTATAGATGAATTTTAATTTATCGACCTCAATTAAATTTCTCAGGGCCTCTCATATCCTCTCAAGGGGTATCCTTACATAAAATATGTGTAAAAGCATCGAATAGCTTGCAGAAACCTTTAAAACGACCGATTCTTGTTTCAGACATGAGTATCCTCGACTTCGGGGAGCCCCTGCTCTCGTTGGAGCCTCCACTCTCCGAAAGCGACTACTCCTTCTCCCTGGGCACGGAAGAAGGACTCTCGGATCTCTTCGACTTCCCCTTTTAGGAGCGTCGTCGCCTCCGATCTCGTCCTCGTCCTTGGCGTCGTCGTCGCGAGGCTTGCGACGTCCTCGTCTCTTGAATCGGCGCCCGAAGTCGCCGCCCTGCAACCAAGGAGTTGCACTTCGGACTTCGCTGGAACATCGATGTCATTGCTCGAGATGCATGTCGCACTCTAGGGTTTCTTGGTTGCATGTACGGACTATTTTGTACCCGTGGAGAAACCGAAAGCGAGCGGTCTCCGATTTTAATTCGCGAGTCACCGGTAAGGACGAAGGAGTCGCGGTGAGATCTTTAAGTGTCGGTTGTCCAGCGACGAGCAAAATTGCTTTTGGTCTTACGGTTAGTGCAAGTTACGGCAGACAGTGCAAGGCCATTCACAGGACTATTCGCAACAATGTAATTCATAGTCGTAACAAGGGAGCAGTGATGAGAGAAAATCGCTTTTGGTCTTACGGTTAGTACAAGTCACGGAAAACGGTGCAAGGGCACATTTGCAGGACTACTCGCAACAATGTAATTCATAGACATAACAAGAGAGCAGCAACGAGCGAAATTGCTTTTGATCTTACGGTCGGTGCAATTCACGGCAAACAGTGTACGGCCAGATTTGCAGGACTACTCGCAACAATGTAATTCATAGTCATAACGAGGGAGCAGCGACGAGCAAAATTGATCTTGGTCTTACGAACAGTAGAACGCACAGCAGACAGTGCAAGACCACATTTGCAGGGCCACCCGCAACAATGTAATTCATAGTCATAAGAAAGGAACAGCGACGAGCAAAATTGGTCTTGGTCTTACGAACAGTAAAAGGCACAGCAGACAGTGCAAGACCATATTTGCAGGGCCACCCGCAACAATGTAATTCATAGTCATAACAAGGGAACAGCGACGAGCAAAATTGCTCTTGGTCTTACGATCAGTACATGTCACGGTGAACAGTGCAAGGCTACATTTGTAGGACCACTCGCAACAATGTAATTCATAGTCATAACAAAGAAATAATGACGAGCAAAATTGGTCTTGGTCTTACGAACAGTAGAAGACACAGCAGACAGTGCAAGACCACATTTGCAGGACCACTCGCAACAATGTAATTCATAGTCATAACAAAGAAATAGTGACGAGCAAAATTGGTCTTGGTCTTAGGAACAGTAGAAGACACAGCAGACAGTGCAAGACCACTTTTCCAAGACCACCCGCAACAATGTAATTCATAATCATAACAAGAGAGCAGCGACGAGCGAAATTGCTTTTGATCTCTCGGTCGGTGCAAGTCACAGCAGACAGTGCAAGACCACTTTTGCAGGACCACCCGCAACAATGTAATTCATAATCATAACGAGGGAGCAGCGACAAGCAAAATTGCTCTCGGTCTTACGATCAGTACAAGTCACAGCAGACAGTTCAAGACCATATTTGCAGGGCCACCCGCAACAATGTAATTCATAGTCATAACAAGGGAACAGCGACGAGCAAAATTGCTCTTGGTCTTACGATCAGTACATGTCACGGTGAACAGTGCAAGGCTACATTTGCAGGACCACTCGTAACAATGTAATTCATAGTCATAACAAAGGAGTCTACTTACTTCAGCAATTGTGAATACTTAAACATTGGCCGACAACGTTTCCTTGCAGAAATGTTCTCGCTGTATGGACAATAAACCGAGGTAACAGAAGGTGCATTCGTGATCGCAGTATTCTTAACCCTTTTAATACCGGCCGAAGTCGTTAGCACTTGTAAAACGACGATATATCGTTGCTCGGCACTAAAAGGGTTAACTTGCGACAACAATGTGTGTATCGCTTGTTCCATCGAGAAGTCCCAAGTCGGTTGTCCAACGACGAGCAAAATTGCTTTTGGCCTTACAGTCAGTAAATACAAGTGACGATAAACAGTGCAAGGCCACATTTGCAGGACCACTCGCAACAATGTAATTCATGGTCATAACAAGGGAGTCTACTTGCTTCAGCAAATCTGAACACTTGAAAATGACAACATTTCCATGCAGAAATGTTCTCGCTGTATGGACAATAAACCGAGGAAACGGAAAGTGCATTTGTGATCGCAGTATTCCTAACTTGCGACAACAATGTGTATACCATTTATTCGATCGAGTAGTCCCGCGTTGGAATTTTGATCCTACTTAGAACCTCTAATTGTAGGCCTTAAGTCGGTTTTCAGATAATGTACAATGGCGGACATGAATGCCTCACCTGCAGATACGGCATCGCCTGTGCAGGATGGGAGGGCATTGATGTCTCCCAGTGTACAATGGCGGACATAAATGCCTCCCCTGCAGATACGGCATCGCCTGTGCAGGATGGGAGGGCATTGATGTCTCCCAGTGTACAGACGGGTTTACAAGTCTATACGATCATACTTTGGACCTTAAGTGTGAAAGATATTTCCATTTTTTCTACTTGTGGGCCTGAAGTAGGAATTAATTCGCATTAAGTAGGTCGGTTCAGGTCGAAAAGCGGAATTAAAGCTTGATGTAGGACCAAAACAGGGCTTACTTAGATTACACAGGTTCAAAGTATGGCTAAAATTTCGAATCGGGGTGACAACAGTATTTGTTCGGCTGTTGCCACAAATTCGATAATTTAGCAAATATTGTTTCTTAAGGGAACTCTCCTACGGTTTCGTCTACGTTCGATATACATTACACTCTCGATTAACCGGGTACTTATTATCCAGTTTGCGATTTAACTGTACACCCTATCGGACGCTGTAGTGGTACTGCCGACAATTGTTGTTCAGGACGTAGCGAACAAATTCGGGCAAGTATGAGCGCTTAGAAATCGCTTTGAGACCGATACAGACGGAGAGAACATTGTTCAACAATAGTGGAATTCTTATGAACGATTTTAAGGTGACATGAAAGTTACGTCAAAGAGGTCTCGATTATGAAACTTTTTCCCAAATTGGGCGTACCGAATCACTCGATACTTTACAACGTAAATATTGAGACTATAAGAAAGGTCCTGACACCCATGAGAATGAAGTTTTTAATTTTTATTTAATTTAGAAAATAATTAAAAAATGTGTTTATACACGTTTTCAAAATGTTGTCTAAAAATTGAAATTTTATGGCTGTCAGAACCTTCCTTATAGTCTTCATATTTCACGTGGTAAAACTTGAAACGATTCTGTACACCCTGTTTGAAGAAAAGCTTCATGAACAATTGATTCTTCGAATGCCACTTTCACACCCCCTTAAGGCTACATGAAAGTGGCATATGAGTGGTCCTACGGTATTACTATCGTTTATGAAACTTTTCTCTAAACCAAGTATACCGAATCGTTCGAAACTTTTCAACGTAAATATTGAAACTATAAGGAAGGTCCTGACACCCATGAAATTCCAATTTTTTATCTGTATTTAATTTAAAAATGAAAAAATTGGTTATAGACTTGTTTACAATTTTGTATAGAAATTGAAATTGTATGGGTGTCAGAACCTTCCTTACAACCTGCATATTCATGTGGTAAAGTTTGAAACGATTCTGTACACCCTGTTTGAAGAAAAGTTTCATGAATTGATTCTTCGAATGTCACTTTCACATCCCCTTAAAGCTACATGAAAGTAGCATATGAAGGGTCCTACGGTATTACTATCGTTTATGAAACTTTTCTCTAAACCAAGTATACCGAATCGTTCGAAACTTTCCAACGTAAATATTGAAACTATAAGGAAGGTCCTGACACCCATCAAATTTCAGTTTTTAATCTGTATTTTATTTAAAAATGAAAAAATTGGTTATAGACTTGTTTACAATTTTGTATAGAAATTGAAATTGTATGGGTGTCAGAACCTTCCTTATGACCTTCATATTCATGTGGTAAAGTTTGAAACGATTCTGTACACCCTGTTTGAAGAAAAGTTTCATGAACAATTGATTCTTCGGATGCCAATTGTTTATGAAACTCTTCTCTAAACCAAGTATACCGAATCGTTCGAAACTTTCTGACGTAAATATTGAAACTATAAGGAAGGTCTTGACACCCATGAAATTCCAATTTTTAATCTGTATTTAATTTAAAAATTAAAAAATTGGTTATAGACTTTTTTACAATTTTGTATAAAAATTGAAATTGTATGGGTGTCAGAACCTTCCTTATAACCTTCATATATCACGTGGTAAAGTTTGAAACGATTCTGTACACCCTGTTTGAAGAAAAGCTTCATGAACAATTGATTCTCCGGATGCCACTTTCACATCCCCTTAAAGCTACATGAAAGTAGCATGTAAGGGGTCTTACGGTCTTACAATTGTTTATGAAACTCTTCTCTAAACCAGGTATACCGAATTGTTTGAAACTTTACCACGTTAATATGGACGCTCTAAAGAAGATCCCGACACCCAACAAATCTCATTGTTTTCTATAAAAATTTAAAGAATGTTTATAAGCAAATTTCAAGAAATTAAAATTCATGGATGTCGGAACCTTCTTTAAGGCTTCCACATTCATGCCGTAAAATTTCAAACAATTCGGTATATCCAGTTTGGTAAAAAATCTCAGAAACGAGACTTTTCCAGACGCCACTTTCGTGTCACCTTAACGAGAAAAAGCGCAACATACCGAGCAAACATTGTTTGCCGACACGTGATTAACATAGCGTGGATACGTGCCCAACAATGTGGAAACGGTGGGTAATCCGTTCTTGTTAATTTTAAAGAAAATAAAACTTCTTTACCTTTTTCAATCCTTTTCGTTGTTTCTTCAACTTGTTCAATATGTTTGCGATATCCTTGATTTCCAACTATCTGAGCACCCATTCCCGGACATTACCTAGGATAATCGAGAGTCCATTGCAAATGTTTTTGCCGTTGGGGTAATTATTACTGCAATAAAAGAGTCGAACGTTATCCACAATGCCGTTCTTTGTTAAGATTGCAAACAACCTTTCGTCCTAGCAAGGCTAAAACAGATTTTGCTCGTCAAGAATTGTTTCTGGCCCTTCTTCCGGATAATCGAGAGTCCATTACAAACGTTCTCGACGTTTGTGCAATAATTACTGCAGTGAGAGTCAAACTTTATCACTAATGACGTTTTTTGTTAATATTGCAAATGTCTTTTCGTCCTAGCAAGGCCAAAACAGATTTTGCTCGTCAAGAATTGTTTCTGGCTTTTCTTCCGGATAATCGAGAGTCCATTACAAACATTTTCGACGTTTGTGCAGTTATTATTAGAGTGAGAGTCAAACTTTATCACTAATGACGTTCTTTATTAAGATTGCAAATGTGTTTTCGTTCCTGCAAGGCCAAAACAGATTTTGCTTGTCAAGAATTGTTTCTGGCTTTTCTTCCGGATAATCGAGAGTCCATTACAAACATTTTCGACGTTTGTGCAGTTATTATTGGAGTGAGAGTCAAACTTTATCACTAATGACGTTCTTTGTTAAGATTGCAAATGTCTTTTTGTCCCTGCAAGGTCAAAACAGATTTTGCACGTCAATAATTATTTCTGGCTTCTCATTCGGATAACGGAGAGTCCATTACAAACGTTTTCGACGTTTGTGCAGTTATTATTGGAGTGCGAGTCAAACTTTATCACTAATGACATTCTTTGTTAAGGTTGCAAATGTCTTTTCGTCCCTGCAAGGCCAAAACAGATTTTGCTCGTCAAGAATTGTTTCTGGCTTCTTATTCGGATAACGGAGAGTCCATCACAAGAGCTCTTGTCTTTTGTACAATTATTACTGCAGTGAGAGTCAAATTTTATTGCTAATGTTCAATATTGCAAATATCTGTTTGTTAAGATTGCAAATGTCTTTTCGTTCCTGCAAGGCCAAGATCGATTTTGCTCATCAATAATCCTTTCTGGCGCTTCTTCCGAATAATCGAGAGTCCATTAGAAACGTTTTTGTAATTATTACTGCAGTAAGAGTCAAACTTTATCACCAATACCTAAAATTCCAAACATCTTTTATTAAGAATGTCAATGTCTTGTCGTTCCTGCAAGATCAAAATCGATTTTATTCATCAATAATCCTTTCTGGCGCTTCATCCAGATAATCGAGAGTCCATTAAAAACGTTTTTGTAATTATTACTGCAGTAAGAGTCAAACTTTATCGCTAATGGTTAACATTGCAAATATCCATGTATTAAGATTGCAAATGTCTTTTCCTCTCTGCAAGGCCAAAATCGATTTTGCTCATCAATAATCCTTTCTGGCGCTTCTTCCGGATAATCGAGAGTCCATTAGAAACGTTTTTGTAATTATTACTGCAGTGAGAGTCAAACTTTATCACTATTGCCTAAGACTAGAAATGTCTTTTCGTCCCTGCAAGACCAAGATCGATTTTGCTCATCAACAATCCTTTCTGGTGTTTCTTCCGGATAATCGAGAGTCCATTAAAAGCGTTTTTGTAATTATTACTGCAGTAAGAGTCAAATTTTATCGCTACTGGTTAACATTGCAAATATCCATTTATTAAGATTGCAAATGTCTTTTCGTCCCTGTAAGCCCAAGATCGATTTTGTTCATCAATAATCCTTTCTGGCGTTTCTTCCGGATAATCGAGAGTCCATTAAAAGCATTTTTGTAATTATTACTGCAGTGAGAGTCAAACTATATCACTATTGCCTAAGACTTGAAATGTCTTTTCGTCCCTGCAAGACTAAGATCGATTTTGCTCATCAATAATCCTTTCTGGCGTTTTTTCCGGATAATCGAGAGTCCATCAATAGCGTTTTTGTAGTTATTACTGCAGTGAGAGTCAAACTTTATCACTATTGCCTAAGACTAGAAATGTCTTTTCCTCTCTTCAAAACCAAGATCGATTTTGCTCGTCAATAATCGTTTCTAGCTCTTATGCGAAGTTGTGCCTCGTAAAGGACCGCGGGTCAATCGACACTTTCTTCGTCCTACCGGAAACTCAGGATCGTCCGACATGAGGACGGAATCGTACGTCGTGCAAGCTGTACGAGTGTAAACGGTGTAAACGACAGGACAGAAGCAGAAGGGAGACCTATAGGCTACGCCACGTCACGTGTAAACGCATATTTAATATTATCGTAATAATTGTCATAAGGTAACTTTCAGGATACGGTAACGATCTGAACCTGATCAAGGGAGGTTCACGGAGAAGCGGCGGCTCGTGTCCTGGGGGAATCCCGGTCGTCCTCGCGGGCAGCTTCTCCCTGGCGTCCCTTGAGGATGTACCCTAAAATCACAGAACTTAGCGTACGTCCAGAAGCCATAGTGCCTATACCACAATCGATGCCACGTGCACGAGCATGAATACCCGA